ATACATTGTTTTTCAACCCCGGACCTTTCCTTTTTTCTTTTACCAATCCCTCCCTCATTCATCAAATTGTGTGACTGTATGTTTAAGTCCCTACCCCTCTTTGGATCCTTATACATGCTCTACAATAATGTTTCTACAGTATTTGTATTTATGAGTCTGAGTTAGTTAAATTATCATATGCTGTCCAGTCCCTCTCATGTTAGGTAGCAATTTACTATAGGTCACCTATTTTTAATGGGAATAAATATGGATATTTTTCAGTTTAGCTAAGATTATAACCTAAGAAACCCTATTATTACACTGTTCTTTAAGGTCACTGTGAGTCAGAATGAAATCGGTGATAACCAGTAGCAGTGCTACTCAACTAACTTACAACAAAGAACTACCTCTTTACAGACTGCTTGCTTTAAATTTATAGAAGAAAAACTTAAGTAAGCAATTGGGTTTATAATAAAAATATGTTGTTGTTATGTGCCATGGAGTTGCCTGTGACCCTATATACAGTAGCCCTAAACCCTGCTCTATCCTGTGCAAATCTCACTATTTCCAAGACTCCCACTCCATCTACCCTAGTCATTGAATCATTCCACTTCATAGAGGCTCTTCCTCTCCTGTGCTGTCCCTCCACCCTCCCAAGCATGTTGTCCCTCTCCAAGGACTGGTTCCTCCTTGCAGCATGTCCAGATTATGTCAGATGAAGCTTCAGAATCCTTGCCTCAAAGGAGCAGCCTGGTTTAACCCTCTGTAGGAGGAACTTGTTCGTTTCTTAGCAGTCCATGTTATATTCAGTACCCTTCTGTAATACCACAGCTCAAAGGCATCAATTGTTTTAACCTCCTTAGTCATTGTCCAGTTCTCCGACACATAGCAAGTGATTGGAAAGACCTTGGACTATCAGGCACACCTTATTCGCCAGTGTGACATCATTGCTCCTCCAGTACATTGGAGAGGTCTGTAACAGCAGACTTTCCCATCACAATAAGTCTTTTAATTTCCTGACTGCTAGTGCCAAGAGTGTTGACTGTGGAGCCAAGTAAACTAAAGCTGATTAACAATCTCAATCTCTTCACCATCCATCCTGATGCTGCCAGTTGGTCCAGTGGTGAGAATCTTTGCTTTCTTGATATTGAGCCTCAGAAGCATATTGAAGCCTGAAGTCCTTGACCTTCTGCCCAGGTCCTCCTCAGTTTTAGCAAGTAAGGTTGTGTCATCTGTATAACGCAGATTGTTGATGCATCTTCTTCCAATCCTGATGCCTAGCCTCCCATATAATCTCTTCTGCATATAGGTTGAAAAGGCATGGAGATAACAGCACATCCCTGATGTACACCCTTCCCAGTTTTGAACCATACAGTATTTCCTTGCTCTTTTCTCTGATGACTGCCTCAGGTCCAAGTATAGGTTTCGCATTAGCATGATCAAGTTTTCTGGGATTTCCATTTCTCTTAGAGTTAGCCATAGTTTGTTATGATCCATACAGTCAAACAGCTTTGCATAATCAATGAAACACATACAGACATTCCTCTGGTACTCTCTACTTTCTGCCAAGATCCATCTAACATTAACTACCAATATTCCTAGTACTGTGGCCCCTTCTAAACCCAGGCTGGATTTCTGGCAGTTCTCTCTTATGCTGCTCCAGTCAGTTTTCAATAATTTTCAACAGAATCTTGCTTGCTGTGATAAAAGTACTGACTCTTTAATACGTAAAAATGAAAAAAATACCATTCATTTTATTCACTAGTGTTGATAACATTACCTGTTTCACAATTGTTAGTAAGATTTTATTGCATGAGAAAATACTACTAATTTTTACGTGCTAATAATAAGTCTCTGTTTCTTCCATTTTATAGATATTTGAGATATTTGGACGTGTTGCGCATCCTTTTTATGTATTACGGTATAATTCTTCAGAGCACATTGAGAGTAAAGGTATTAAAATAAAGGACACTATGTATTTTGCTCCATCAATGAAAGACTTCACCCAGTATATATTCACAGAAAAACTTAAACAGTAAGTACATTATGTGTGAGGTAATTATTCTTTAATTACCTAACTTTAGTATTTTAGGAATAATTCTCAGTGATAATGGTTTCTTATACTTCAGTGATGTCTATCTCCTAAAGATTTTATTATTTTTCTAATAATAGTTCTGAAAGCTACAATTTATCTGAGTTTACAGGTTACTTATAGAAATCTTTTATCAAAAGTGATCTGATCTGCTTGTAGATCCATATTTGGGTCACACAGTTTTCTGAATTCTTAGATGTTCTTTCTGTAAAGTTTCCTTTGCATTTCTTTGGTTTAATTATTTAATAAAAGTTCATAATTCTTAGAAAAGGAAAATGAGTAACTATTTAGTTTCTTAAAAATTCAAGATTTAAACAACCTGTTACTCTACTCATTGTTAATGAATGAAAACCAACTTAATACCTGATCCACCAGTGGTTTTTTAGATGCTCTTAATTACATGAGAGGAGATTGTCCATTTTTCGCTCATGGAGCAGCCTTTGAGTTGACAGTACAACTTAACCACTAAGCACAAGAGCTCCCTAATTTATGGGGAAAAAAACAATTAAAATGTATCCCTGAAAAGTTGCTTGTGATGACATGGTGAATGGGATTGATTTAACCAACTCTCCTGAGATGCAAATCAGTGCTTGCCTTTTTGTCTGTAATTTTACTGAATGATGCTAGTGGCATGTCTGCATATTTGTGCTTCTACTAATTCTGTATTTGCCAGGTGGTAGTTGTAAAGCTATTTATATTAGGCTAGCCTGCTATTGTCGTCTGTAATTTATTTTTTTACATTAACCGATAGCATAAGCGTTCTAGTAATGTCATTATTGCTATAAAAATAAGCTTAGTGTTTTGGAGAGAGGTAATGTGTATTAGCTACTGAAAAAAACCTGTAAAATTAGGAGTGGGAGAAATGATTACAGATGATAAGGGAAAAGATAATTGTTAAGTTCAAAAACATTTTGTACCCAATTTGACACACAGGCTCTCTTTTGTTCCAGCTCTCCTTCATTTGGGAACGTGGACATAAACTAGATAAAAAAAAATTAGGGAGCTCTGCTGGCCTTGGGACTGTATTGAAAGTACTGGTCCCAGAGGGAAAAAAAAAGGGAGGGGGAGTACTTACTGGTCCTTATTACATGCTGTAAAGTGGGCTATGCATAATTTACATATTGAATTGTTTCCCACTTTGCCACTGAGTTGGAACTGACTTTCTAGTGGGTTTTCAGAAGATGTGAATCATATAGGAGGAGATTTCCCATTTTTCTCCCAAGAAGCTTTTGGTGATTTTAAACCACCATATAAAATTGGAAGCAGGAGTGGCATCCACTTCGTAAATAACATGCCCCTATGAACTTTGATAAATGTTGGTAGTTGTAGAGGGGATTCAGGCCTTTTGTTCATAGGGTTGCTATGAGTTGTGCTTGACTTGAAGGCAGTCAGCAGTAACAAAGAGTCACAGCCTTGGATTGAGAGCCATTGCTACTTTAGAGATTAAAATTTTTATTCTTACTGTGTTTAAACTCATGTTTTAAAATATATGTAACTATTTTGAATAAGAATCTGAAAGGAAATGTTACCTAAGTTATCCTTCAGGCTATTTAAGGGTTGTCCTATGCCTTTGAATCAAAACCAGTGAGTTTTCAAAAGCTGTAAAAATTGAAAGGAAGATAGGATATTGCCCATCTTTATCCCTCAGCAGCTAGGGAATTTAAACCACCTTTTTTGGGGTTAGCAATGCAATTCCTTACTGGTGGGCCATCACAGTTTCCTGAAGATATTTATTAGTAGATCCTAAATAATAGGAAAAAATTGTGTTTTTTTTTTTTATTTACTGTTATCCTATTGGAAAGTAAGAGTAAATGAAATAATTGGGGAAATTAAACCCATTTTGCAGAAAACATACAACAGAGTGTATTTTAGACGGATTTTTACATCAGGGTGCTTGGAGAAGCTCATTTAGCTTTGAGGTTCATCTCTTTGGATTAGTGGCTTTATATTGGTTTTAGAAATACAGATTAAGCTTTTACTTAGTGAACTGATCAGTGTTAAGGAGTCACACTGCCATCTCAAAGGCAGGCAATTTGAATCCATGAGCTGCACAAATTGCATTTAAATTATTTGTATATTCAAATAAGCTATTCATGACTTAAGAAACAAGGAAAAGAACTTTTTACTATTATTTACATCAATTACAAATTGTGGTTTGAGATTTCCGTTTTATTATTTTCTGTATTGTTGCAAGTATTTAGTTGAAACTTACTTATATCTGTCATTTTTTTTGGTGGTTTTTGTCATTTGTCTTTTTTTTTTTTCTTCTTTCCTCTAGGGAAAAGGGATCTGATGCTTCTTGGAAGAATGATCAGGAACCACCATTAGAAGTCAGTATAAAAATCTTTTTGTACATTCTTAAAAAGTAAGGCAGGTCTTAACACTATACATTTATCATAATTGATCTCAGAGAAGTCTACTGATATCTTCTAACCTGCAACTTCTTTCCTAGGTAGTATTTAATGTATTACAATATAACTTTCTACCTAATTATTTCATAAAATACAATATTTAGGTACATTTTCATAATTAATTATTGATTTAGAATTTTATCTTTTTATTAATTTTGTTGACTTGATGTCTTAGTCATCTAGTGCTGTTACAAGGGAGTTACCACAAATAATGAATGGCATGAACAAACAATTATATCTATGGTTAATGCGGCTAGAATTCCAAATTAAGGGTGCTGGCTCAAGGGGAAAAGGATGTTTGCCTCATTTCTACAAAGTAAAGAATACTAGAAAAAAGTGTTTAGGCTTTATTGACTATGCAGAGACATTTGTATGGATCATAGCAAGTTATGGATAACATTGGGAGGAATGGGAATCCCAGAGCACTCAATTGTGCTCATGTGAAACCTAAACCTAGACCAGGAGGCTGTTGTGCCAGTAGATCAAGGGAACACTATATGGTTTAAAATTAAGAAGGTAGTGTAGGGGAGCTCTGGTGGCTTAGTGGCAAGAAGCTGCACTGCAATCACAGAGGCATGTGGTTCCAATCCATCAGATGCTCTGCTGGGGGTGGGGGGGCGGCAATCTCCTCACACATGACAAACAATAGAATAAAAAATATTTTTTTCTTTAAAAAAAAGAAGGTAGTGTATCAGGGTTGTATTTTCTCTCCATACATATTCAGTCTGTACGCTGAGCAAATTATCTGAGAAGCTGTACTCGATGAAGAGGAATATGACATCAGGATCAGAGCGAGACTCATTAATAATCTGCATTATGCAGGTGACACCTTGCTGAAAGTGAGGAGGACTTGAAGCACTTTCTGCAGAAGACCAAGGGGTTCAGCCTTTAATATGGATTGCTTCTCATTGTCAAGAAGAAAATTTGTTTACCACTGAACTGATAGGAAATATCATGGGAACAAAGATTGAAACTGTCAACAACCTCCTCTTATTTGGATCCACACTGGGCACCAGCAGTCAGGAAAAAAAGAAATTTCTTTGCACTGGGAAAGTCTGTAGTCAGGGACCTCTCCAAAGTATTGAGGAATAATGATGTCAGTTTGAGGACTAAGGTTTGTCTGGTTCAGGCCCTGGTTTTTCCTATCACTTGCTATGTATCTGAGAGCTGGACAGTGAAGAAGGATGACAGAAGAAGAAAGGATGCTTTGGGCTTTGATGTTAGAGAAGACCACTGAACACCCCATGGATGGCTAAAAGAACAAGTATGTCTTGGAGGGTGCAGTCAGAGTACTCCTTGGAAGCAAAGATGAGGCTTTGCCTCACATGTTGCTAGGAGATGCTATTCCTTGGAGCAGGACATGATACTCAGAAAGGTAGAGAGCATTGGTCAAGGAGAGGAAAACCCTTGACCAGGTGGATTGACATGGTGACTGCCGCAGTGGACTCTTTTGTGTCAGGAAGTGTGAGGGTGGCACAAGGGTAGGACATGGTTCAGATCTTTTGTTCATAGGGTCCCTGAGGATCATGCTTGATTCAGTGGCACGTAACAACAACAATATTACATTCCAAGGGATCTCTGATAGCTTGCTGTTGTTACATGCCATCAAGTCGACTGTGGCAACTCATAGTGACCCTGTGCATAATAGCTGTGCCCTATCCTGAGCCAAATTCACACATACCCCCATTTCCCCAGTTACTGTGTCAGTACATCTCATCCTGGGTCTTCCTCTTTTGCACTGTCCTTCCTTCTGCTATTGCATGCATAATATCCATCTCCAAGGACTAGTCTCTCCTGGCCACCTACCCAAAGTTATGTTAAGAAGGAACGTCAGAATCCTTACCTCCAAGGAGCAACTTGGCTTCACCATCTCCAAAACAGACCTATTCTCTTGGCAGTTCATGGTATGTTCAATACTCTTCTCTAGTACCACAATTCAAAGGCATTGATTATTCTTCTGTCATTCATTGTCCAGCTCTCTGATGCATAGAAAGTAATTACAAAGATCATAGCCTGGGTCAGGCACACCTTAGACTCTAGACTGAGCACTCTGGAGAGGGGCCTGGCAGCAGATTTTCCAATGCAATTCTTCTTTTGATTTCCTGACTTCTAAGTGACAAGAATGATGATTATAGAACAGAGTAAGCTGTGATTGTTAACAACCTCAATCTCTTCTCCATCTATTATGATGCTGACAGTTGGCCCATTGGTGAGAATCTTTGTTTTCTTTTAAACAGTTACTCTTATCAACACAAAGATGTACAGCTCAAATTTACCAGATGAACATTCTCCTCTTGTGCTAAAAATCCGATAGAAAGTCACTGTGGGGAAAAAAAAAGTCACTATGAGTCAGTTCTGATTGTACAATACCTGACAACAACAGGAGTATCATCACCCTTCAACATCTGTGGGCCTTGTTTTTCTTGGAGATCTCCACGTGTCTTTCCTTTTCTGTGTCAAGGAGGTTCTCAGCACAGCTGAGTCCAAAGGATATGCTTTCCTCTTTGCTCTTCCATCTTGGTGATGCTGAGGTTTAGCATGTTTTCTCATATAGGCCACACCATCTGATCTTAGTACTTTCTAGTGTCATTCTTCATGATGTGATTAGTCCATCAGATGGGAAATGTCCCTGCCCTGAAACAAGCAAGGAGGAAAAAACCAAATATATATATGGGCGGGGGTGGTGGTGGTGGGGAAGTTCTGTGACTTAGTGCTATGGGAGTTTGAGGCCAAAGAAAGAGAAAACAGGAAGAGACCGTAATAAATCAGATGTACCATGCACCTTTGGTAATAACCTAAAAAAAACCCCAAGCAAACCAAAGTTAAGTCTGTACATGTCACCTATCACTGAAAATCTTCAACAGAATTACTAGATTAGTTAAAAAAAAGAAAAAAAATTTGATGTAGAATTTATTTCAGCAAGAGAGGCTCAGGTAACTTACTTTATAATGTACCAAATTGTCATCTAAAAGGTCAGCAGTTGATATCTACCAGCTCTCCATGGGAGAAAGATGGTCTTCTCTGTAAAGATTTACAGCCTAGAAAGCAAATTGAGGGTCACTGCCCAAAAACTTGTGGAAGAAGGTCTGTTTTGATTTTCTATTTCAGCAAGCCCATACCACAAATCACATTAAGAGACTTTCGTATACATTTATTCCTTTCAGTGTTATTTTGTTGTTGTATTTGTGTACCATTGAGTTAGAACTGACCTGTAGCTGACCCTCTGGTAGGTTTTCAGGGGCACTTTATCACAAAGGAGGAGATTGCCCATCCTTCTCCCGCAGAGCAGCTGGTGGCCTTAAATCATGTACCTTCAGAATTGCAGCACAGCTTCTTGTCTCTAGGCCACCAGAACTCCCTCAGTCCATGTACATGTAAATAGAAATTATTGTTTAACACAAAAGAATTTAAAGCATGTTGAAACATTAATGCATTTCTGAAATTTTGTTATGAAATGTATATTTTAATCCTTTTTTTACTGAAGATATATATATCCCCCTTTGGACTTGGGGTAAAATTATGTGGCACACTTGTTTAGTTTATGCTCTGGTAAGGTATCCATTTCCCTCTGAACTTTGGGAGAAGCACTGTGAGGTGAAGACTAATGTCCATATTGACTCTTCTAAATCCCTTGACAGGTACATCCAATTTAGGGTGCCTAAAAAGTGTATTTGTGCAAAAACGGGATCATGATACAATTAGCTTTCAAATAACAAGACTTACCTTTTAGTGAAAAAGGCAAAAGGGACAAAAAGTTTTACAAAATCATCCATCTAGGGTATATCACCTCATACAGTATGCTGTAAGAACAGTAATCTGTAGTATGTGCCTCAGTCTTCTATTTCAGATAGAACTGAAGATCCTTACCTGATAGTTAAACATAATGTCAGTGGCAAAACAGCTGCCCAGTAAACCTCAGATGAAAAAGAAAAATATAGGTTGGGTCTGTTATCCTGTGGGTCCTGAAACAGCCAGTACATGCCTGTGCACGAGTGCCTGCATGGATTTATTTTTTATTTTATTTTTATAAAATTTTCTACCAATTTATTTACCAAGTTTGAATACATTGTTTTCAAGAAGAAATTCTTTCCATTTCCCCCACTCCTCTACCCATCAAATTGTACAACCCAGTGATTAATCCTCCCTCCCCCTGCACATCCTCATCCCTCTGCTTCCAACCTCTCCCACCCCTCTTGGATCCTTATTACTCATTTTACAGTAATGGTTTTATACAATATTTATCCTTATGGGACTGAGTTAGTTCACTCAGCATAATGCCCTCCAGTCCCCCCTAAGTGTATGGATTTATTTTTAAATGAAACTTAATATTTGTTCTGTGGTGTTATTAAAGCAAACTCCCTACTCTCAGGTTGATTCCTACTCATGATTACCCTCCATTAGATTTCTGAAGACGTAACTCTTAATGGGAAGAGGCTGCTTATCTTTCACTCACACATAGCTGGAGGATTTGAACTTGTAGACAATCAGTCTGTTATCAGCACACCACTTTATAAGACTACACCAGCAGACCTTTCCTTATGGTGTTAATAGACTCTTAAAATGTCTGAACTTACATAAGAGATCATGACAGCTCTATTACCTATAACCTACATGGAGCCCTGGAAGTCTAGTAGACTACTTGTTGGACATTTAAGCAGAAGTTGGCAATTCCACCAGCAGCTCCAGGGTTCAAAATCGAAATTGTGGTATGCTTCAAGATTTACAGCTTTGCTTTAAAATTTACAGCTTTGGTGACCATTCTAAAAGGGATCACAGTAGTAAGGCCTGGGTAGAGTAGGGAATAAGGTGGAACAGCACTAAAAAATACAAAAGCCAAGTTTACTAGTCTGGTATAGAGACTGGTAGGACCCTGATATTATTGCCCTTGGTCACTTTTCACACCTCAGACAAAACTTACCCTCTTGACTCAACTTGCTGCCAAATAGTAGATAGGTCTTTAAGGTGACCAGTAAAACCAAGGGAGGCTTCTTAAACTAACGAACCATATAAGGTCCACAGAACTGTATTTGCCCAAGGATGAAGCTCTAAAGACAGGCAGGGCTAGGTAGAAGGGTTAATGGAAATGAAAAGTACAGGAAGGAAGTGGAAAGCATTTGATTGAATTGTGGGCATAGTAGTAATTGGTGGTGGTGGTGTTATGTGCTTGCTGTCAAGTCTCCTGTGACTTATAGCTACCCTACGTACAACAGTGCCAACTGATTCTGACACACCCCCGTCCATTGTCCTAGTCACTGAGTCAATCCATCTCGTCTGGGTTCTTCCCTTCTCGAAGGACCAGTCTCTCCTGGCCTCGAGCCCAAAGTACGTGAGACAAGGCATCAACATCCTAGCTTCCAAGGAGAAACTTGGTTTCACTCTCTCCAAGACAGACTATTTGTTTTCTTGGCAGTCCATGGTATATTCAAGACTCTTCTCCAACACCACAACTCAAAGGCATCCTTATTCATTGTCCAGCTCTCTGAGGCATAGCAAGTAATTGCAAAGATCATGGTCTGGATCAGGCGCCTCTTAGTGTCTAGACTGACATTGTTGCTTCTCAGTACTCTGGAGAGGTCCTGGACAGCACATTTACCAAATTGCCTTCTGATTTCCTGACTGCTGGTGTCAAGAATGTTGATTGTGGAGCAACGCAAGCTGTAACTGTTAACAACCTCAGTCCCTTCTCCACCTATCATGGTGCTGCCAATTGGCCCATTGGTGAGAAGGTTTGTCTTCTTGATGTTGAAGACCACAGTCCTTGACCTTCTGCAGCAAGTGCTTCAGGTCCTATTCCGTTTCAGCAAGCAAGGTTCTGTCATCTGCATAACGTAGGTTGTTGATGAGTCTTCCTCTAATCCTGGTGCCATATTCATCCTCATTTAGACCAGCCTCCTGAATGATCTCTTCTGCATTTTGATTGAAATGGTGTGGATACAGGACCCATCTCTGACACACTCTTCTTCTGATTTTGAACCATGCAGTGTTTCCCTGCTCTGTTCTGAGGACTGCTTCCTGGTCCAAGTATGGATTTCACACAAGCACAATAATTCCTATTCTCCTCAATATTAATCACAATTTGTTTTGATCCACACAGTCGAATTCTTTGCATAGTCAGTGAAACACAGATAGATTGATATTCCTCTGGTACTCTTTGCTTCCTGCCAAGATCTGTCTGACATTGGTGATAATATCTCTAGTGCCACAATCTCTTCCAAACCTAGCATCTATTTCTGGTAGTCTCTGTCACTGTACTGTGCCAGTGAATTTTGGATAATCTTCAGCAGTGTTTTGCTTGTGTGGGACATGAGTGATATTATACAATAATTTCGACACTTGGTCAGGTCACCTTTTTCTTGGAATGGGAATGGATCTCTTCCAGTCACTTGGCCAGATAGTTGCCCTCTATATGAATGGAAAGCCCAATTTGTAAATTTTTACTCAAATCACAGTTTAGGGGGAAAAGAGATATAGGGCCTCTCAATAGAAATTGCCTTGAGTTGGAATTGACTAAATGGCTATAGGTTTTGGTTTAGACCAGTGATTTTGTTTGCTTGTTTGTTTTGGTTTTGTAGACTATAGCAGTGAATCTGAATTCATACTTTCTATTGATTTTTCTACTTTTTTTAAATCGTCCCTGCTTGAAAGTAAGTCATACTTATATCTGGTTTATTGCCAAAACTATGCCATTGTTGTCTTTTTCATTCTGAGTTTTGTGGAGTTTGTAAATGTAGAACTACCCTATAGGGCTTCCAAGGCTATAAGTCTTTACAGAAACAGCCTTCCTCATCTTTCTCATAGAGAGTAGTTGTTGGATTTGAACTGCTTATCTTTTGGTTAGTAACTGAGCACATAACTCCTGACAGTGAGTTTAGGTTTATTAGCACTGAAGAACAAGCATCAAGGCTCCTGCTTTTGTACCAGATATCATTCCCTGTGATTTTCTACACACTTAATTGCCTTTTACTATTCCTGATACTATAATCAATACTATACGGTAATATTTAGAATAGTTCACTATCTTATAATGGGTTTATGGAACCTTTTGAATGATTAAAAAGAATTCTGTTTAATTTTCTGTTGTTGTTGATTGCTTTTGAGTTAAGCACAACTCATAGTGACCCTATAAACAAGATCTGAAGCCTTTCTATAATTATCATCATTTCTCGAAGTTTCCAGAGGCCTGCTGTTTAGCAAGTGAATGCCACTGCTAATTTGCCTTCATAGTTCTTACTATTCAGAGTATCAAAAAATTACTTCCTTTGAGGCATCTTGCATTAGAAGTCCAACTTCTAGCAGGACATACCCATATCTTGAAGGTTGTAAAAATCAACATTTTAAAGTTGTCTAGAGTTTTTTTTCCTTAAAAATTGGTAAATTTTCATTTTGGTTACTAGACATTTATAAAAAAAAATGAATTTATTTCAGTTATTATTGGAAAGTACTAAATATAGGAAAGGACACTTTTATTTTAGGGTCAGTGGTAAATGCTTGACTATTCTTAATCTCTTGAATTGGCAAATATTTGTAATGCAAATCTTTATTTTTATCTCTTTAAGGCCTTGGATTTCAGTGATGATGAAAAAGAAACTGAAGCCAAACAAAGGAGAAAATCTCAAATTCAAGGCCGGAAAAAACTCAGATCTGAATTTAATGAACCAGGTGAGTCAATGCAGTGTCTCTGTCTTCTTTTAGAAAGCTCTGGTGACCGAGTGATAAGGAACTATGATGTCAAACAAAAGGCACACACTTCAGATACACTAGTTGCTCTGTGGAAGAAAGATGGACAGTTTTTTCTAAATGACTTACTGCTTCTGAAAACCACTAGAGGGTCAAGGGTGGTGAGTAGTTTCCAATTCAAGAGTATAGAACATAACAGTAGCTTAGAGGCTCGAGTTGTGGTGACAGCTGAAAGGAAAGTGGTTTGATCTCTTCACTTAGTTTCCTCCACTGATAGCATCTTGCAGAGCTATAGAATATAGCATGTGGTTGTTTTTTAGTGCCATTGAGAGTTGAGTACGACTTACAGCAACCCTATGAACAGTGAATCTGAATGTTGACCTATCATGTGCCATCTTCCTCATTTCTAATATAGTTGGGCCCGTTGTTACAGTCTCTGTGTGGTCCTTCTCTTGCACTGAACTTCCAGCTTTCTGTACATGATCTCCTTTTCCAAGGACTTGGTTCCTCCTAACAACATGCCTAAAATATGTGAGATCAAGCTTAGCCATTCTTACATCCAAGAAGCACCACAATTTCACTTCCTCCCAGACTTAATAGTAGTTTGTTCTTTTGGCAGTCCACTCTCACACACCACAGCTGAAAGGCTTTGACTGTTCTGTTAACCTTACTCATTGTTCAGCTTTCAGATGCATAACAAATAGCTGAAAAAGTGGCAGTCCTTTCTTTTAATTGTTAAGTAGTAGTTTATTGTCTACAGTGGCCTACAGACTATATTTCATTATTCATTTCTTGATTTGTATCTGGCATGTTAGAAGTGTTTAGTGTTTGGCTCTAAATGTGGTATAAACATCAGTGTGCAGATTTTTGCATGAATATGAATGAATATTTCTCTGGGATAAATGACTAGAGCAGTTGTTGGATGTATGGTAGTTTTTAGTATTTTTAGTTTCTTAAACACACTGAAATAAATGGGAACTATTCTTGTCTATTGTTCTCAGTATGGTTTGCCATTTCTTACCATTTCAGTGTTTGGCTTAACAGCTGTGTTTGAGCCATTCAGCTTTTCTGTATTGTTGCCAGTATTTGGTATTGTCCCTGTTCTTGTTTTTTTGTTTTGTAAAGCATTATTCATACCCGTTTCATGGACATGTTAATTTTTTCTCTTTTAGGTTGGGTGTTTATTTTTCTCTTTCAATTAATTTTGGTTTTATTTGATTTTCTGCCCGTCTTAGGTGGAGATTTTGCAGAAGTACATCAGAATTGGAATGCTCATTGTTCTGCTTCAGAATATTCGAAGGGATATCACAATAGAGAATTCACAAGAGGATGTTCCCGGGGGAGATATCCTCGACCTTGCCGTGGAAGAGCCCCACCTCAGCAGTTTTATAATTCAGAGCATATGGTATCTCAAGAGGCATCAGGATTTCCACCTCAGAGACAAGACAGTACTGTGATGCCACAGTTTCCCTTCCCTCCTCCAGGGTTTGACATGCATAATTTTTCACTCCCTCCACCACCACCTCCGCCACCATCCATAAACATGGGATGGCCTGCACCTGATGTTACCTCTAATCCATTTCTGTATTTACCATACTCTGTACCCCCACCTCCTCCCCCGCCACCCCCTCCTCCTCTATCCTATCCTGCAGATAGTAAATCTTCTCATTTTGGGACTTACTATTAGGTAATTTTATTTATTTACTGAAAAATGTGGACTTTTTATTAAGGTGGGATTTTTGTTGTAGTTTTCCTTTTGTTTTTGAGGTTTTTTCCCCTTTCATTTTAAAGAAAAAATTATTGTGGACCTAGATTTTTAAAAACATGGTAAAATACAAAATAACAATTATTTCAGTTGTAAATTAATATATATTTGTTACTTTTGTGAAATTGTATGCATATGAAAATTTCATCTCTTGAATAAAGAAAATAGCTAATTATAGGCAATCTATGGGTTACAGTGTGCTGCTGTTGTGTTGTGTACTATCAAGTCAGAACCAACCCATAACTGACCCTCTGGTGAATTTTCAGAGGCAGTTAATCACATGGGCAGAGATTGCTTATTCTTCTGTGAAGCAGCTAGTAGACTCTTAACTGTGTGCCTTCAGGATTGCAGTGCAGCTTCTTTTTATTAGGCTGATTTTTCAATAGCCTGTGTCATGCAGATGATACAACATTGCTTGCTGGAATTGAAGAGGTTATGAGGCATTTGCTGCAGAAGGTTGACTGGACTCTTCAATATGTATTGAAGTGCAGCATTAAGAAAACAAATATTCTCACCACTGAGTCAATGGGCAGCTTCATTATGGGTGGAAAAGAAATGAAGATTGTTGATAACTTCATCTTGCATGGTTCCACAATCAACACTCTTAGCACCGGCAGTCGGGAAATCAAAAGAAAAATTGCATTGGGAAAGTTTGCTGTCTGGGACCTCTCTAGAATACTGAAGAGCAGTGATGTCAGTCTAGAGAAAGAAGTACGCTTAATCCAGGCCACGGTCTTCACGGTTACTTGCGGTGCATCAGAGAGCTGGATACTAACTAAGGATGATAGAAGACGGATCAGTGCTTTTGAGCTGAGTGTTGGAGAATAGCGCTAAACGTCTCTTCTGGAGAGGCTGAAACCATACTGCTCCTTGGAGGCAAGGATTTTGAAGCTCCATCTCGCATACTTTGGGCACATGTCCAGGAGAGACTCATCCTTTGAGAGGGACATCGTGCTTGGAATGGTGGAAGAACAGTAGAAGAGAGGAAAACCCAGAATAAGATGGATTGGCTCAGTGACAGGACCTGTGGGATTAGGTCTTTTGGAGACGATGAGATTGCCTCAGGGTTTGGACAAGTTTCAGAGCTAATGTATATAGGGTTGCTATGAGTCCCATTTGACTCAATGGCACATAACAACAACATGGGTTACAAAAAAGTAAATTTCTATCTTTAAAAATTTGTCAAGGCTTCCAACTGGTTACACCCACTTCACGGCCTAGGAAGCATCACCACTATAGACCTAGATTTTTAAAGGTATTGTGTACTGATAGCGTAATTAAAATAATTATGGGTTAAAACCTTGTTAGAAATGGACTCTCCCTCTTTCAGTAAAAGGCAGCATATACGCCACATAGTACCTATATCTCTTGCTCTTGTATTTTGTGCAGATTCCTGGAGTCTGATTTGTGCTGCCTTGCCTGAAGAATGTGTTTACTCATTCACATATAGTGATGATTCATCACATGTATATGCATGTGCCTTGGATGTTGCTTTCTTCCAGTCGTATCAATAATTCAGTCTTAAGAGGAAGAAAATACCAAAATGGATGTCCGAAGAAACTCTCAAGATTGCACTGGAACGCAGAGAAGCCAAAGCACAATGAAGAATTCAAGATACTAAAGAGCTGAACAGAAGATTCCAAAAGGCAGCACAGGATGACAAAGCAAAATATTACAGTGAAATGTGCAAGGAGCTAGAGTCGGAAAATCAAAAGGGCCGAACTTGTTCAGCATTTCTTAAGCTCAAGGAACTGAAGAACAAATTCAAACCTACAGTTGCTATAATCAAGGATGCTTTAGGCAGAATATTAAATGATGCAGGAAGTATTAAAAGAAGATGGAAGG